GGCATTGGAGATTTTCAGGGGCATTTTTTGGGAACCTCGAATCTCTACGTGGAGTCCTTGAGCGATGGATGTGTGGGAAAGAATAATTTTTTGGTGAAACATGGAATGAGGATAGGGATGATATTGATGATGGACAGATCTCAGTTTGAGAGTTTTGGTTGAGTGCCATTGTTTGTTTTTATGTTTGTGTCATTGGATTTTTTTGTTCACTCATGACACGAAACCTACATTCTCAAGACCAAAATGTGAGGTTTATTTATGAGATATGTTTACGGTAGTCTACTTTGTTTAGGTTGTACAAAAAAAAGGTAATATTTCACATGACTTTTTGCATGCTTTGGTAGTGGTGTATCTTGATAATGACACAATAGTTGGGAAGGATATTAAAGATAAACTCCATATATCAATGTGGGTTTTTTTTTGTATGTTTTACACAATATACTTTCAAGCAAGTTATCACTATACGTCTATACCACTTATGTATATGCATAGCACCCGAAAATAAAAAATGCATATCCAACACGTGCACACAGCCCCAGCCTGTGCTTCTCGGGGTAAAATAGTAGTTGGATATATAATTTGCTTTGATTATATTATTTTTATAAAAATACACATACGAAAATTTCTTTTAAGTACATCAAGAGTGGCCCCACTATAAACAGAGAGGATCGGAACAAACAAAAACTCCCCATAGATGGGATGTCAGGGAACAAAATTTATACGAAAATTAATTATATGGATGAAAAGGAAAGTCTGAAGAGATTGTTGAGAAAATTTTCTACTCACCATTTTGAACTTCTAAAAAATATTGAAAACACAAATGTTAATTGTAATTGTTCTTTTTAAACAAGTCCATATATATGTGGAAAGCTAGAACATACTCCGTATATTCTTGAGAGCAAAGAACTCGTTGCATAACAATTGTACAAAAACTCTTAATTAATGGAAAGAACAAAAGAACAACAACTCTCAACACAATCCTACAAACTGCTAAAAATAATAAAATGCTAATTAACTACTCCACTAAGACAGGACATTTAATTTTCGGAAGAAAAACCTAAGATTCTTAGAGTCCCACAATAGTTCAATGATGTCCCCTTCCTTCAAACCCCTCCTCTTCACAAAGTGTACGCGCCAATTGCTAGTGAGCACATAGCTTCCGTTGTGCCAGCGCTTGAGAACTAACTTATATTCTGAGCGGGTGTCCACGTCACACATCTTCACCCTCAACCCATCAAAGCTATGGCACTCGTTACGCCGCTCTTGGCTAATGGAAGGGAGCACATATTTTTTCACAATCTCCTCTTTTGACAGCAACAACCTCGACGAAGTGTTCACGTCGCTCTCGGTTAGCCTCTTCCTTATCCACCGTGACTTGAATCTCTCTGGCACTCGCTCGCCTGCCAAAGCGATGCTTGAGCCAGAGATATTCTTATTATAATGATTAGTGCCGTTGTTATTGTCGTCCCAAGGTGATGGGTTGGTGTTTGGGAAGAGATCAAGTAGTTTGGGAGAGGGGCTTAAAGGCGCGGGGCACGGCAGCAGCGTGAAGGTGAATTCTTCGAGGCATTGGGAAATTTGTCCTCCCGGAGCTGGGGATGAAGAGAGGTTAATGTCGGTGAAAACTGGCGGTTGTACCGCCTCGGAAGGTGTTGATGGTGCTTGGTGGGCGAAGGGCGTAGGGCATAAGATGAAGTTAAACATATTTGTAACTTGTGTAATAATGGAGTAGTAAATCGTGGTCTAATAGTGTTATTTATAGGTTGGGGTAGGTCGAAATAATAATAAATTCCAGTTCCAAACGGGATTAGGAGAGAGTAATCCTTAATTTGGAAACAAAATGCCTCTTAGTTACCCTATGCTTGCTTCATCTGACGTCGTTGTGCAATTGGGCCGTGATCCCTTTAGATCATCCAGTCCGAGTCCACTTATATTTAGGCTTAAGTTATTTCTCGATACTCTTTTAAAAAAAAGCATAATATGATAACACTTCAACACGTAGCAACCAACCCATTTACCAAAAGTAAACTAAAAATAAAAAAGTAATGATTTCATCTCATCCGTTATTCTTATCTTTATTTTATTTACATTTTTATTTTTTAATTTATTTTTCAAACCCCCCATATTTGTTAGTTTTAGTTACTTGTTTTTATTCAATAAAAGTGACAAAGTGAACAAATTTTCATAGTCTAAAAACAAATCTTTTCTCGTGCGATAGACCCTTGCTAACCCTATCTATGTGTTTTAATTAATATTAGTTAATAAAGGAGGTTAAGAGTTGAGGAAATAAAAAATTGATTATTAGTGGGCGGTACGACACGCCTAACAATTTTAAAACACTTTCAACACAATCTCTAGACAATTTCAGCATAATGTTAGCACAATATCAGCACAACTTCCAATTTAGCATATACTCCCTCCGTCTACAAATAAACTTCTCGTTACGCGTTACGATGTTTGACTAAAGTTATTTTCAAATCATTTTATATGAAAAATTTTAAAAAAATAATTGCATATTAAAAAATATATCAAACATCTACAAAAGTAGAGGTGACATGACTAAATTATTTAATCAAATGGGTGACAAAAATAGGCTAACAAAGTGAATAAAGATTGACCACGTGAATAGTGAACGGGAAGTTTATTTGTGGACGGAGGAAGTACAATTGAAGAGTAGTCAATATTAGAACTACACACCTCAAAATAAATTAGCTAGCATATACAACGGAATAGTGTTTTAAAATAATACCTTCCTTAGCTTTTTCCTGAAGACCAAAACTCTATCAAGTACGTCCACATAGCAAGAGGTATACGTTCAAGCCTTTTCTCTTAGATTTGTAATCCTTCCACGAAGCATGTCCTTTCATAATCAAGCATGACGTCGTCTAGAGTTGAGTCGCCGAAGAGAAGGCATCCAAACAAGCCTGTCATGATTGTGCACATAGCCAATGAAACCTTCACTACTTATCTTATTTGAAGGATCTTTCATTTCACTCTCAATACTGTGCACTGCAGAAACAGCTCCCAAATGCATGAAAGTTAAAGTGACTAACCATTGAAATGGATGGAAGATGTAAGCGGAGGCGATGATGGGGACGAAAGTGAACAATCTCCAGGCTGAAGTAATATCAGTGACAATGGGGAGAACTCTGGGCGGCATTTCAATGCTTCCCGTGAACAGCTTGAAAAGGGTTATTACTGCAGTGATGATGAGCACGGAAACAACTGCAAGCCCAAATGCTTAGTGAAATTTGCACTAAATAGTACTAAAACATATGTCATTTCCCAATGTAATACTTGAACTTTTTTATTCCCTAAATATTACTTGAATGATGTCTAGTTGCGAGAATAATGTGCAGTACGTGGTACGGTGGTAAACATTTAGTTTGAACAATATCCAATAACGCTGGACATTTACTTGAATAATGACTAGTGGACCTTGAACACTGGTACCACATTGGGAAATAAAAACACATAGTATTATATTAGGAAAGTCACTATGTTTTAGTACTAATTAGGTAATGCAGATGTGTGTGTCTATGAATCTGCAAGAAAAGTACCTCTGCAGACCCCCAAAGCCCAATCAGTTCTGCCTCCATAGCCTTCCATGGTAATGAAGCTTTATCTTTTCATATTCCAGCTTTTCAGAAGATTCCCTCTAGAAGCAAAGTCACAGAAGCATCCAAGAGCAAAAAAATCAATATTTGGTTTGGTTTAGATTCACTGGGTTCTCACATCTCTGAAGGTCATCTCCGTTCTAGATCCCGAAGAGTAGTAACCACATAAAAATAACACTCGAAGATGCTCCAAACCTCTCCATTTCGGCCTCCCTCCTCTTTGAAGACATCCCGGAGGATAGCAAACACGCCCTTATAGAACTGGTTGTTGGTTCCTTGGGTGTGTCTTAGCCTCTTTGGGATAGGTGTTGGCTTTATTTTTGACAAAACAAAAAAAACCATACGTAGTTGTTTCTAAGTACTCAGTTTGTTCTAGCTATGTGTTTTATAGAGCTGGAGCATCCTGTCCGTCACACAAACAGTCCCTGACCTTCTGGACTCTTTTAACAAAAGGCAGACTGCGGCTCACCAAACTGAAGAAGAACTCTATCAACTAAAGGCGACTGCAGTTCACCAAACTGAAGAAGATATGTGTGGTATCAGAAGGAAATTATAACAAAGACTCTACCCGATAAACACAAAACTGGAGGTAGAGGTATATCAGGATTCTTCTAGGGTTGATCTCACCTTGCGAATATAAATAGAAGGGAGAACTGCCTGGATTGTGCGTGAATTCAGAGAGCAAGAGAGAGAATATGTTGTGAGAAAATTCTGAATAATCAATCAGCCAAACAGATCGGAGAACACAGATGGCCGGCAGGCAGAATGATATTCTGCTTGGAGTTTGACGTGCGTTCCAGACAGTTGAACTGAGAAGAGCTGGAGCGTAGGCCAGGAACACGTCTCAGATAAGTTGTTCAAGTGTTTCAGTCTCGGTATCTCTGCATAAACCGAGTTTGTTGCATCCCATTAAGTTGTTGAGTTTAGATCAATGGATAGATCGAGTCTGTTGTCATTGAGGGTGTAAACTCTGAACTGATTTAGTGGGAAGGCCGTTACACTTATGTGGGCCTCGTAGACGTAGGAGAAATTGCTCCGAACTGCGTAAACAATTTTGTGTGTTGTGTGCTGTTTGTTTTGTTTCAGTCTATCTATTCAGCAGTTGGTGAAACACTTTCTTTTACAACTTCATATTAGAAAGTGCTTCAGCAACCTCTGCGGCAACTTGTTCTGTTTTAGATTGCTACAGGTCGTACTCTGTGGAAAGTGAAACTTTCAATTGGTATCAAAGCCTTAATGACCAAGAGGTCACAAGTTCGAAACTTACCGCCACCCAGTTAAAAAAAAATTAAGGTTTCACGTGCAAGGCTCAAAGAGGTCACGCGTGCACGTGAGGGGGCGTGTTAGAGTATATAACAATCATTCCTGGGCCACAACCACAAGCTTGAGCTTTTGGTTGAGTTGGTTCCTTGACTTGGTATCAGAGCCATTAAAGCTTAAGATACTAGCTTTAAAGATCAGACATGGGAGACATGGAAGAAGGAGCGAATGTACAACGGCCACCACTGCTGAGAGGACCAAACTACAACTTCTGGAAGGGGCGCATGAAGGCATTTTTGAAATCACAAGGTGGAAGAGTCTGGAGAAGCGTAGAAACTGGCTGGCAGATTCCTACAAAGACAATTGAAGGATCAGATGCAAAGATTCCCAAAACATTTGAGGAATACTCAAAGGAGGAAGTTGCAGCTGCTGAATGCAATGACAAAGCCTTAAATGCATTATTTGGAGCAGTGGACAGCTCTCAATACAGACTCATTGCAAATTGCACTGAAGCACAGAAGGCGTGGAAGATTCTAGAGACAACCCATGAAGGAGATGAGAGAGTCAAGACAGCAAAATACCAAATTCTCATGACAAAATTTGAAAATCTCAGAATGGAAGATAAGGAGAGTATCACTGAATTCCATGGCAGAGTGAGAGATTTGGAAAATGAAGCAGAACGTCTTGGAAGACCTTTTGAAGAAGACTATCTTGTTCTAAAGGTGCTGCGCGCCCTACCAGAAAGCTACTCTGTTGATGCCAAGGCCATACGTCAAGCGCATGATCTAAAGAGGATGACGCTGGATCAATTAATGGGAAATCTTGAAACCATTGAATTGGCCATGTCAGAAGAACAAAAGAAGAAGAAGACAGAGAAACAAATAGCATTTCAAGTGGGTGATCTAGATCCAGAAAATGATGTCATATCAGATGATGATTTTCAAGAGCAGCTCTCACTGTTTACCAAACAGTTTACAAAAAGGTGGCTCCAGAAAAAGGGTAAACAGGCACTTATGCAAGATCCTCAGAGAAGTTCTCAAATCAAAATAATGAAAGAGAAGGAATTCAAGGCACAACCTTCAGAAGCAAGGAGAAGAGGGCCACAGTGTTTTGAGTGTGGTGGCTTCGGTCATATTCAAACAGAATGTGCAAACAACATGAAAAAGAAAAGGCAGGCATTTGCCTCAACTTGGAGTGATGAAGAACCAGACACTGAAGATACTGATGGAGACAGTAACTGCGCCTTTGTCACATTAGAAGTACAAGAGGACTCTGAAGAGCAGCTAAAAATACTCCAAGAAAAATGGAGTGATCTGCTTGATATTAATAAGAAGAATGTATCTGAAAATCTCCTATTAAAAACTAAACTGCAGATCTGCGAGCAAACTGTTGAGAAGCTGCAACACGAGCTGAGCCAAAAGGAAACCAAAAATGCTAATCTGAGACATAAACTTGATCATCATATGAAGTACCAGAAATGGATAAATAAAGCAGGAGCAGGAAGTGCACAAGAATGGATGCTGAGCACAGAGGCAAAAGCCATTGAACACCAAGTTGACATCTCCAAGATGTATGGAGACAGAACTGGGCTGGGTTATCCAAAAGAAGAATCAACCAAAACACCACTAGATCTCTTCATCAAACGGAGTGATCGCAGGAAAGAAATAGACAGTCTTCCAGTCAAAGCTCCACAAATGACAACTGGTACATCACACAAGAATGGAAGACATCATGCAAACACAAGAAATCCCTATGAAAACTATAGATGTTATCGATGCAAAGAATGGGGGCACATTAGAAAGATGTGTCGTAGAATCAAGAGGGGAAGACAGAGAAGTGCTAGAGTCAAGCAGATATGGGTGCAAAAGAATGTGGCATCACATGCAAACTCATGCATGCGAGTGACTCCAGAGTAGTGGCTATTGGATAGTGGATGTTCACACCACATGACAGGAGACAACAAAAGTTTGAAGAATATGCAGGAAATAGAGGGAGGCAGTGTCAGATTTGGAGGAGGGGCGCATGGACAGATTATTGGATGTGGAACATTAAATGTCACTGGACTTCCACCTATCAAGAACGTCTGGCTAGTTAAGGGATTACAAGTAAACCTTTTAAGCATCAGTCAGATATGTGATCAAGGTTTAGAGGTGACCTTTACTCAACAAAAATGTAGAGTAAAGGACAAGAACAAGTTGGTTGTGCTAGAAGGCGATAGAACAACAGAAAACTGTTATAGAGTGAGCCCCAACATCCTATGCTACACGACCAGTGAGAAAGATGCCAGATTATGGCATTACAGACTAGGGCACATCAACTACAAGGACTTGGCAACTCTTTCTAACTCAGGAGTTGTGAGAGGTTTACCAAAAATCACAAAGATCAAAGATGAGGTATGCAAACCATGTCAGCTTGGTAAACAGGTTCACTCAAGTCATCCAACGAAGGCGTTCAGAACAACTCAGCAACCACTGGAATTACTTCATCTGGATCTATTTGGTCCCATGAAGACTGAAAGCATAGGAGGAAAGAGATTTGTCCTTATGGTGGTGGGTGACTTCACAAGGTACTCTTGGGTGAGTTTCTTGAAGCACAAGGATGACACACTAGATGCCTTTGCAGCTCTTTGCAACAAAGTACAAAATGAAAAGCAGCTGAAAATAAGAGGAGTCATTCGAATACGAAGTGACCATGGAGGTGAATTTGAAAACAAGCCATTTGAAGATTATTGTGATCAACACGGCATATGGCATGAGTTCTCTGCACCAAAGACACCACAACAAAACGGAGTAGCTGAAAGGAAAAACAGGCATGTTCAGGAGATGGCACGAACAATGATTAATACTTTTGATCTGCCTAAGAAACTATGGGCAGAAGCTGTCCATACAGCATGTTACACTATCAACAGGGTGTACATGAGAAGTGGGACAAAGTCAACTCCCTATGAACTGTGGAAAGGAAGAACGCCAAGCATTGCTCATTTCCATATTTTTGGAGCCCGGTGTTTTGTTCTAAGAGATCGAGAGCAAAAAGGAAAGTTCGATCCCAAAAGTGATGAAGCTATTTTTGTTGGGTACTCTCCAAACAGTAAAGCATACCGAGTATACAACAAACGAACCAAGACAGTCATGGAGTCTACAAATGTGATTGTTGATGATCGGATGAAGAGAAAGAACCAGGATGATCCAGAAGAGGCTCCAGCAACTGATAAAACACCTGGTGAATCAAATCAAGAAGCTCAGCCAGAAGAAACAAATGCAACTGAAAATGAGGAACAAGTACCAGAGACAGCTACAGTTCCCACACATATTCAAAAGAATCATCTTATGAAGAATGTCATCGGATCACCAACAGAAGGGATAAAGACCAGGAAAAAGACCATAAATTTTCTTGAGATGACAAAGGCTTACTACACATCAACTTCAGAACCCAAAAACATAAAAGAGGCGCTTACTGATGAAGCATGGATAAATGCAATGCATGAGGAGTTAGAACAGTTTGAGAGGAACAAAGTTTGGGAACTAGTACCAAAACCAGACAAGGTGAATGTAATAGGTACTAAGTGGATCTACAGGAACAAAACTGATGAAGAAGGAAACGTCATAAGAAACAAGGCAAGACTGGTGACTCAGGGTTACACTCAAGTAGAAGGAGTAGATTTTGAAGAAACATTTGCACCAGTTGCACGACTGGAGTCTATACGAATGCTCATCAGCCTAGCATGCATACTCAATATGAAACTATATCAGATGGACGTAAAGACAGCCTTCTTAAATGGGTACCTAAAAGAAGAAGTGTATGTGGCTCAACCCAAGGGTTTTGTTGATCAAAAACATCCTGAACATGTATACAAACTAAGGAAGGCACTCTATGGTATGAGAGACTCACATCATATCTGCTAAGAGAAGGATACAACAGAGGTGGTGCAGACAACACTATGTTCTACAAAAGGTATGACTCAGACATACTGATAGCTCAAATATATGTTGATGATATTGTGTTTGGATCAACTTCAACGACACATGTCAACCAGTTTGTCAAAGTCATGGAGACAGAATTCGAAATGAGTATGATAGGAGAGCTAACCTTCTTCCTAGGACTACAAATCAAACAAACTGCTGAAGGAATATTTGTTTCTCAAACAAAGTATGCTCAAAACTTGCTGAAAAAGTTTGACATGAATGACTGTAAAAGTGCTCGAACACCCTGTCCAACACATGAGAAGCTTTGCAGAGATGACCAAGGACAAGATGTGAATCCTACCAAATACAGAGGGATGATAGGGAGTCTACTGTATCTAACAGCCAGCAGGCCAGTTATATGCTACAGTGTAGGAGTCTGTGCAAGATATCAGGCAAATCCAAAAGAATCACATCTCAAGGCAGTGAAAAGAATTCTGAAGTATATCAAAGGGACGCAAAATCTGGGGTTGTGGTACGTCAAAGGTGGTACAGCAAACCTCACAGGCTACAGTGATGCTGACTGAGCAGGAAACATAGATGACAGAAAAAGTACTTCAGGAGGGTGTTTTCTTCTTGGAGGAAATCTAGTAGCATGGATGAGCAAGAAACAAAACTCAGTGTCTCTGTCAACTGCTGAAGCAGAATACATAGCGGCTGGGAGTTGTTGTGCACATTACTGTGGATGAAGTCAATTCTAGCAGATTATGGTATTAGTCATGGCACAATACCTCTTTACTGTGATAATACAAGTGCAATCAGTATTTCAAAAAATCTTGTCTTACATTCACGTACCAAACACATCGATATAAAACATCACTTCATACGTGAACTGGTAGAAAATAAGACGGTGGTTCTGGAACATATTCTAATAGAGGAACAACTTGCAGACATCTTTACTAAGGCACTGGATGGAAATAGGTTTGAGAAGCTCAGGTCAGATCTGGGCCTTTGTGCTCCCTTCTAAATTTTCATTCACACGTGGACACTTAAAGGCCAGCTTAGAGTGTACACGTCATGTCATATGCTGGAAATTTTGAAATGAGAAGGAATACTATGGGGCACACTTCTAAAATAATCTTGTCATCATCGCGCACACTACTCAAAGGTGCCGTATTGCTCTCAAGAAACGGAAAGGGCACAATAACACATCTTTGAATTAAAAAAAATCTCGTGGTCAGCGCCATTTACACTCGTCTTCTCCGAGCACAAACCCTAACTCTCTGCAAGAAAATTTGCTCGGCAACAATGGTGAGAAGCAAAATTGCTATACCACAGAAGTTCAATCACTCTAAGGGTTCCAAACCGCAGCCCTCCTGGTTCAAGAAGTATTGCCAAGTCCGCAAGAAACTTCAAGAAACAAGAGAGGACGAGGAACGAGTGGTGAATCCAGGGTCTCCAGCAAGTATCCCTCACATGCAGCAGCAAGAAGATGATGTAGCACATCTTCAACCTTCAGATCTACCACAGATGCTGCTCATTGAATATCACAAGTCTGAGGAGGAAGCAGAGACCGCTGAAGTGCCGAAATCTGAGCCAGCACCACCCGAAATGAAGCACCGATGGACCAACTCAGCCTCCACCAGACGCACCAGTTCAAGAAGATGAAGAGTTCATTCAAATCTTGGATGAAGATCCTCTTGTGGCAGTCTCAAAAGTCCCTTTTCAAGAAGACTCTGCAGTGAAGAAGAGCAAAAAGAAAGAGATTTCCAGCACAGTCCCTCAACGAAGATCTAAGAGAAAATTGAAGCTGGAGGAAGACTCAAGTTCAGAAGCACCACCCCAGAAGAAGCAGTCTACATCATCTACCCCTATGATTTCTGCAGCAGATGTCACACCGGTGGTAAAAACAGGAAAGTCTCCTCACTCTCGCTTTGTTTCCTCAAAAGCTAGATCTCTTTTCAGTAGTGTGCACAAGAAATATATTATTGTTCAAAGAAAAATTGATGTGGAAGATTTTAAACTCAAGACCAATTTGATTCCTCTCCTTGAAAAATCCAAATTGTTGAGATCTGTCACTCTTCAAGGATCCTTTGTGAAATCTGTTATCTGTGAGTTCTACTGCAACCTGTCTGAATCTTGTGCTGATCATGCTGACCCTATGTTTCATAAGGTGTTCTTGCATGGAAAGACCTATAAACTCTCCCCTGCTCTTATTAATACTGCTCTTATTAATACTGCTCTTGATCTTACCCCTAGCAAAAAGGACACCACAATCTCTGAAAAAACCATGTGGTTAGATATTACAAATGGTCAAAGAGCCTCTCAGTCCAGCAAAGCAAAAATTTCCTCCTCAATTCTCAAAAGTTCCTATGCTATCTTATTAAGGGTTGCAGCACTTCACTGGCTTCCAACAACACACACCAATACTGTTTCCAAAACTATGGCCAGACTGCTCTACAAGGTTAAGCACAACACACCATTTGACCTAGGACAACTAATTTTTGATCAGATCATGCTCTTTGCAGCTGAGAAATACAAGGTCAACTCCATTGGGCTTCCCTATCCAACACTTCTCTACTGACTATTGATCTCCCAGGGTTTCAACAAAGATGAAGGGGAGGAGAAGGAACAAGAAGAGCCACCACTCCAAGTGGACAGCAGACACATGGAGGGAAAGCACTACAATGACATGGAGGTTGCTGCTTCAACAACTACAAAATACAAGGAGACACCCTCTTTGGTGAGATTCTTGGAGCAGAAACTGATGCAGGTTAAGGAGGAGCTAGCCAGGACTTTACAGCTGAAAGATAAACTGGAGATTGAGAAGGATCAGTTGGTGGTGTTGATGCGCCAGGCTAGGGAGGCACATCCAGATGAGGAGCACACAGACTCAGCAGAGGAGATCATTGAGAGCACTCATTCTGATGAACAGGAGAGTCACACTGAGGGGGAGAGTGAGGAAGGAAACTCAGCTTGATTTGATTATGTACTCACAAAACTCTGTTTTTTGATTGATGGAAAGTGTTGAGGCTGTGTTTGCCTCTGGATTATCAGGAGTATGTGTTTTGCTCACTTGTGACTTGCTTGTGGATTTCGCTGTTTTGTTTGGGTTTGTTGCTGTTGGATTTGCTCTATGGTTTCTTTGAAACATTCTATTGCTCTTTATGATCTATGTTTGCAATTATGCATTCCATTGTCAAGTGTTGTCTCCTGCGCATGGGTCTAGTGACGGATGTAGGTACAGCTCTATGTCACACTTCTTAGGTATTCTATGTCATATTGTACCTACTCTTGATCGGTTGAATATTCCTCTTTATTCTTCGCTCCAAACCTTTTTAGTACAATTTGGCATTTTTTTGTGCAAAAAAGGGGGAGAAGAGGTTCAACACGGCTGAGTAGTGGTTTTTGTCAAAAATTGCCAAAGGGGGAGATTGTTGGTTCCTTGGGTGTGTCTTAGCCTCTTTGGGATAGATGTTGGCTTTATTTTTGACAAAACAAAAAAAACCATACGTAGTTGTTTCTAAGTACTCAGTTTGTTCTAGCTATGTGTTTTATAGAGCTGGAGCATCCTGTCCGTCACACAAACAGTCCCTGACCTTCTGGACTCTTTTAACAAAAGGCAGACTGCGGCTCACCAAACTGAAGAAGAACTCTATCAACTAAAGGCGACTGCAGTTCACCAAACTGAAGAAGATATGTGTGGTATCAGAAGGAAATTATAACAAAGACTCTACCCGATAAACACAAAACTGGAGGTAGAGGTATATCAGGATTCTTCTAGGGTTGATCTCACCTTGCGAATATAAATAGAAGGGAGAACTGCCTGGATTGTGCGTGAATTCAGAGAGCAAGAGAGAGAATATGTTGTGAGAAAATTCTGAATAATCAATCAGCCAAACAGATTGGAGAACACAGATGGCCGGCAGGCAGAATGATATTCTGCTTGGAGTTTGACGTGCGTTCCAGACAGTTGAACTGAGAAGAGCTGGAGCGTAGGCCAGGAACACGTCTCAGATAAGTTGTTCAAGTGTTTCAGTCTCGGTATCTCTGCATAAACCGAGTTTGTTGCATCCCATTAAGTTGTTGAGTTTAGATCAATGGATAGATCGAGTCTGTTGTCATTGAGGGTGTAAACTCTGAACTGATTTAGTGGGAAGGCTGTTACACTTATGTGGGCCTCGCAGACGTAGGAGAAATTGCTCCGAACTGCGTAAACAATTTTGTGTGTTGTGTGCTGTTTGTTTTGTTTCAGTCTATCTATTCAGCAGTTGGTGAAGCACTTTGTTTTACAACTTCATATTAGAAAGTGCTTCAGCAACCTCTGCGGCAACTTGTTCTGTTTTAGATTGCTACAGGTCGTACTCTGTGGAAAGTGAAACTTTCACTGGTGACCGCTAGTTCCTCTGGTCAGCAAAACACTTGAGCTGCTCAGCAAAACACTTGAATATAACTCTGGTCCTGGGGACCAACCGTAGACCCTCCAATTGTGCAAGGAGAATTGTATATATCTTTAGAATAAAGGATTTAAAGGTACGATCCTATAGAACAAATTCTGTTCAAGTAAGGTCATGTAGATATATCTTGATATGTACATGGTGAGCTTTTCCTTTAGAAAGATTTGTTGTAAAAGATAATCATTTTCTTTAAATAGGACTCTTTAAGTTTTTTTCCCTAAATAAGACTAAAGAAGATATAACTTGTCATTATTGTTGTTATGTTTTAGTCATTATTGTGATGTTCATTGTTTGTGATGGTCATTATCATCGTCATACTTTGGTCATTAAGTGTCCAAACGTTGAAGTCAATAGGACTGGTCCTATATTCGGAAAGTGACCATGTTTTAGTTCTATTTAGGTAAATTTTCCTTTAATTTATACTTGGTGAGCGTTGTATTTATTTTTGGTGAACATTCTACTTAAGTTTGTTAAGCTTTGTAAATATCTTTGATGAGCATTCTACATATACTTGGCGAGCTTTTTATCAAAATTTGGTGAGCTTTATATACATATGTACTTGGTGAACTTTTTATTTATATTAGTGAGTTTTGTGTGTGTGTGTGTGTGTGTCTATATATATATATATTGTGAGCTTTCTACCTAGCGAGTTTTGTATTGATAATTGGTGAGTTTTGTACATATATATTTGATGATTTCTCTACTTGGTAAGCTTTTTATTTATACTTGGTGAACTTTCTACTTTTAATTGGCATGCTTTGTACATACATGCATACATACATACATACATACATACATACATACATACATATATATATGTATATGTGTGTGTGTGTGTGTGTGTATATATATATATAGATACATACATATATATATACATACATACGTACATACGTACATACATACATACATACATACATACATACATACATACATACATACATACATACATACATACATACATACATACATACATACATATATATATATATATATATATATATATATATATCTGTGTGTGTGTATATATGATAAACTTTTTACTTATAATTGATGAGCTTTATATACATTTTTGGTGAACTTTCTACATGTCTTTGGTGAGCTTTGTATTTATAGTTGGTAACGGAGGAAGAAGCAAATAACAATGTAGTAAATTGCAATAATGGAAAAGTAAATTGAAGTGCAAATATATTGGAATCAGTTTGCACATGGTTGCTAACATCTACCAACATGTCAAAAAATGCATAAGAACATGTGTTTAATGACAAATACAAATAAAATCGACATAACACTATCAGATAGAATTTTGATGTTTTGAAAGAAAAAGTGCTTGTTTTTTGACCCTCTACTAGCTTATAACCTTCGGGAATATACAAGCTTTTGGATGACTCTTTGTGCTTTTTCACGGGCATTCCCCTGAACCTATTTTTCAGTGTCTACTTGAACCTCCATTTTAACTTTTCAAGTACCTCTTCTTTGCTTCTTTAGGTAACTCTTCATTAGCCTCTTCGTGAAGCATATTAATAATTTCATTAATTTTAGCATTCAACTTCCAGGAAAATTTCACACGAATCCAGGCGTCCTGCATTTCTAGAAAAATTTATCCTAGAATATTTTAGAACCGGAACTTGATGGTTGAATGGTTCAGGGTTGGTCTTAGGTTCTAGAGCCTCTTTTTGAACATTAATCACCCTCATTTGATATTGAGATTGGAGGGAGTGTTTAAGTTCAACAGCCTTGCAGAGATCATTGACTAATTTATCAGCTCGACTCTCTACTTCTAGTCTCTCTCTTTGAAAGTCGTCCAGCATTTTCTGTATCATTTCTGATCCTTCGCATAATTTCCTTCCGGACTGATTCAAGAAGTTTTGCTCTTTCTCGAATTGCCACCTTGTTTGCTTCAATTTGTTCTTCAGTAAACATGGTGTAGTCATGGTGGTAGGGTGGTTCGTACCAGGAGCCTTCAGCGAATAGAGCTTTGTCGAAATAAAAAATTTTCTACTCTAATCTTATGATTTCTTCAACGAGCGAATCGGGTTGATCTTCGTACATTGGTTCATGTTGGTCGTAGTCATCTTGATCTTCATGAGGTTCATAATAATTATTGTTGTGGACTTGTCGTGTGGTCCACAACAAATTTTGGCGCCGCTGCCGGGGAAAGTTTTGTAGGAAATTGTTTTAGCATGTATTCTGTTCTTTGTTCTTTGTTGAACAAATAACCTCTCTTCTTGTGTTCAAGACTGATGTGCATGTTAAATGTTTAGAATTGAGGTTATTTGTGTTTGAAACTGAAATCAGCATTTTTTTACCTTGGTTGCTGAAATTTATGCTCCATTTGCTGTTTTTATGAAATTTCAGCACTATTTTTCATCAAAACTGCATTTTGAGATGTTTTTCTCGATCCATATTTGCTGATTTTTGTTTCCGTATATCATATATGCTGTATTTCAATTATATATGTGCTTTTTTGTTCCATAATCTTATTTGTGCAGCATGTATGTACTGATTATATAAGCCTTGAATGATAAGTTTGCTGAATTTCTTGGGCCTAATATGCTGTTTTTTAAAAAATATGCACTTCTAGGCTTTCTTTTCATGCCGTTTTTGTCCCTTAAGAGTGCTCCATTGCTTAATATATAAAATCTTGCTTAGGGACAACATTTAGAAGCATAAGATGTTGTTTATATGCGGATTTGTTGTGGGTCCAGCCCATTTTGTTTGGGTTCCATTTTTCTTTGGTGGAGGGCCCAATTATGTTTTTTCTTGGTTGACTAACAAAAGGAAGGAAGTAAAAGGGCTGGGCAGTGGTGGACTTACGGAGAGAGCAGAAAAGAAAAAAAACAGAATAGAGAGAGGAAAGGTGCTGGTGCAGAATTTACAGACCAGCCGCACAAATTCGATCATCGCCGGAGATCCGACCATTGGATTGAGTTGAAATTTTCAGAGGTTGTTCCCAACACTTAGGGTTTCAATCTGTTCAATTTTCACATCAATTGGAGCTACGTATCTTCTGTAATAGAAGCTGGTGCGACGCTGCGTTTTTGGGTGACAATCTTGATTTTCCTTCTCTTTTGTTGATGGCTCTTATGTATGTTGTTGTTGGTGGGCTGTGACATCCTTGTAGACTGAATTTGGGTGTTTTTACCGTCAATTTACATAATAAGAGAAGAAGAGGGCGGACTCCCTATAAGTCCCGTGGTTTTTATCCTTCACATCGAAGGGGTTTTCCACGTATAAAAATCGTGTGTCGTTTGCATCTTTATTCTTCATATTTGATTGTGGTTTATTTGATGTGCTGCTGATTTTGTGTGCTTGGTTAATCAATTGTGGTAAATTGGGTCAAGTGTTTGGTTGGTTGTCTTGAAGTTGATCCTTGTAGGTGTCGTATCCTACTTGTTGCTTCTCCCCCAACATTTTGTATCAAAGCATTGGTTAAACCGTAGATATGGAGTCTGGAAATATTTCTATGGTTAAATTGACATCAACGAATTATTCCATTTGGCGTCCTATGATGGAGGATTTGTTATATTGTAAAGATTTGTTTGACCCAATTGATGTAGATAAAACCAAGAAGGATGACGTGCCCACTAAACCAGAGAAGATGACAGATAAAGAATGGGAAAAAGTGAAGAGAAAGACCTTGGGGACTATTAGACAGTGGATTGATATTAGCATATTCAATCATGTATCCCAAGAGACTGAGCCACTCGAGTTGTGGAGAAAATTGGAGGGTCTTTATGAGAGAAAGACTGCTCATAACAAGGCCTTGTTGATTAAGAGGCTTGTTAGTCTCAAGTTGAATCCGGGAAAATCTGTTTCTGAGCATCTTAGTGTTTTTCAAGATATCATTAACAAGATGACTGTGATGAAAATTGTTTTTGATGATGAGTTGCAGGCTTTATTCCTATTGAGTTCTTTGCCAGATAGTTGGGAGACTTTGGTTGTGTCTATCAGCAACTCAGCTCCAGATGGTGTGCTTTCATTAGATGTCATTAAAGAGAGCATGTTCAATGATGAGCTTAGAAGAAAGGATATGGGTGTTGACATTTCACAAACACTTGTGGTAGAGAATAGAGGAAGAAGCAAAAGCAGAGGTCCCAAGGGGCGTGGCAAGTCAAAGTACAGGTCCAAGTCCAAGGATGGGAGAGAGCCCACGATATGTCACTATTGTAGCAAACCTGGCCATATTCAAAAGTTTTGCTATAAGATGAAAAGAGACCAGCAAAAGAAGAAAAATGATCATCACAGAGAGGGTGATGACAAGAATACAACATCAACAGCTTCTACTTCAGATGATGGTGTTTCATTGGTTTGTACTGTAGGTGATTGTTGTCATGTTGGTAACTCTGATTCTGAATGGCTTGTTGATACAGGGGCTTCTTATCATTGTGTTCCTCATAAGGAGTACTTTATTGACTATCGAGCTGGAGATTTTGGTAGTGTGAAGATGGGAAACCAGAGTTCAGGAAGTATTGTTGGAATTGGAGATATCCGGGTTCAAACCAGTGTTGGGTGCTATATGACTTTGAGAGATGTTTGCCACATTCCAGATTTACGCCTCAATTTATTGTCTGCTAATATACTTGATCAAGAAGGTTACAAGCATACTTTTGGTGAGGGTAAATGGAAATTGTCTAAGGGTTTTTTGACTGTTGCTCGTGGCAAGCTTTGTTGCACTTTGTATAAGACACACTTTAAAGTGTGTGCTAGTGAGTTGAATGCTGTTGAGGAGAAAACTTCTCCTAACTTATGGCATCGCAGATTGGGCCATGTTAGTGAGAAGGGTATAAAGCTGTTGGCTGGTAAGTCTCTTATTCTTGCTGATGTTACCATTTCACTTGACCATTGTGATCATTGTTTAGCAGGAAAGCAGCATAGAGTTTCTTTTTCGAGGAGATCCAGGAGAAAGAATATGAAGCTAGAGTTGGTTTACTCTGATGTGTGTGGTCCTATTGAGGTGGAATCACTTGGTGGTAACAAATACTTTGTTACTTTTATTGATGATGCTACTCGGAGAACTTTTGTTTATATGATGAAGCACAAAAGCGATGTGTTTGGCATCTTTCAGAAGTTTCATGCCATGGTGGAAAGGGAGACAGATTGCAAATTGAAGCGTCTCCAAACTGATAATGGAGGTGAATACACTTGAAATGAGTTTAAAGCATATTGTTCAAAATATGGCATTTGGCATGAAAGAACAGAACCTGGTACCCCACAACATAATGGTGTTGCCGAGAGGATGGACAAAACTATTGTTGAGAAAGTGAGATGTATGTTTAGGATGTCTAATCTTCCTAAGTCATTTTGGGGAGAAGCAGTTGGAATCGCTATGTACTTGATAAACAGAGCACCATCAGTTCCTTTGGAGTTTGATATTCCTAAGAGAGTATGGTTTGGGAGAGATCCTTCTTATTCCCATTTGAAGGTGTTTGGATGTAAGGCATTCATGCATGTACCGAAGGAACAGAGATTGATTCTTGACTTCAAGACTTCTCCTTGTGTGTTTGTTGGATATGGTGATGAAGAGTTTGGTTACAGACTATGATCCAACAAAGAAAAGAGTTGTGAGGAGTAGAGATGTTGTATTTTACGAGCACGAGATGGGTTTTCATCTCTTAGGTGATGGTAATACTTTTTATACTGATTTATCTCATGGTGCTATTGATATGTCTCATGTTTCTGTTCCAGATGTTCAACAAACAGGTGATGCTCCTGATGATGGTCATGAAAATACTCATGAACATGACCGTATTGAACAGGTACAACTAGAGATTGTGCCACAACCTGATGATGAAGCTGTTGAAATAGAAAGTGGAGAGTCTTCTAATCAGGGGGAGCAAAACAGCCCACAGGTGGAAGAGCCAACATTGAGAAGGTCAACCCGAGTTCGACAACCTTCAAGACTTTATCCAAGTTCAGAATATATCCTAATCACTGATGAGGGGGAGCCTGAAAGCCTTAAAGAGGTCTTGTCACATCCAGACAAAGACCATTGGCTGAAGGCTATGCAAGAAGAGATGAATTCTTTGAAGAAGAATGAAACATATGACTTGGTGAAGCGTCCAAAAGGGAAGAAAGTCTTGAAGAGCAGGTGGTTGTTCAAGAACAAGAAAGATGGCGAAAAGCTAGTGAGACGGAAGGCAAGACTGGTGGTGAAGGGATGCCATCAAAAGAAAGGCATCGACTACGATGAAAATTTTGCACCAGTGGTGAAGATGACTTCCATTCGCATGATTTTGGCACTAGCGGCTTGTTTGGATCTTGAGCTTGAGTTGCTTGATGTAAAAACTGCATTTTTACATGGTGATTTGGATGATGAAATTTACATGGAGCAGCCGGAAGGATTTGAAGTCAAAGGAAAAGAGAATTTTGTTTGCATGTTGAAAAAGAGTCTTTATGGGCTTAAGCAAGCACTATGGCAATGGTACCGTAAGTTTGATTCCTTCATGAGTGGTAATGGGTACAGGCATACTATACTGCAGATCCTTGTGTGTATTTTAGAAAGTTCTCTGATGATAGCTTCATTATCCTTTATTTGTATGTTGATGATATGTTGATAGTGGGACAAGATGTTGAGATGATTCGCAGGTTAAAAGAGGATATGTCAAAGTCCTTTGAAATGAAAGATTTGGGTAATGCGAAGCAAATTCTTGGCATGGAAATTGTTCGTGATAGAAAAGCTGGTAAGCTTTGGCTCTCACATGACATCATCTACTATTACCATATATATCGATCATTAATACATTAATGAGATTGAAATGTCCGGTTTAAGAAAATGCTAAGTTTGTGCATTTTGTGAGGCTCTTAACTTGTTTGTGACTTTAGCATTACTAATTGTTTAATCTCGACTTGTGCATATGCACTTAAGCAATGAAGATTTATTCTCAATTTTTTAGGGAGTATTATCTAAAATAATATCACTTTTTCGTGTTTTTCTAAAAATAATCTTATTTTTTACGTTCACGCGCAATAATTCTAAACTTTCGCATGTGTGCAATTTTTGGATCGTCGTTAAGAAGGTAACAGTAACCTAACAATTTTCTTTAGAAAATATTTGTTTTGCGCAAATAACTGAAAGGTGAGATTATTTGAGGTAAATGTTTATTTTGTCAATGTATTTTTTAATTTACATTTCTGAAATTATACTTTTAAAAATATAATGGTACACTTTAGTTAGAGATTTGACTCAACCTTTTAAAAATATAACAGTTCAAAAGTTTGTGTGTCATTTTAGAAAAAAAATAGAATTATCGAAAAAAATTGGAATGCCACTCTAGAAAAAAATGCGAAACAAAAAAAGCATAGTGAATAATAAAAAATTAGTTTCATTTCGGAGAAAAAGTGTTGCGTCATTCTCATAACTTTTGTAATATTATTTTGAAAACAAAACTCTTATAATCTACACATTTAGAAAAAATATTTTATTATTAAGATTAAATATTTTTTTGAAGTAACACACACTGTTTATTCGATAATCATATCGATAGTTTGGTACAAAAGTTTTTCTAAAATGACATTATGTTAGACAATAATAATAGTATTACTTGTGGTAGTATTGGTTGTGGTAGTGTTTCATTATTAGTCAGCTTCCTAATCCTATTTGTGTTAGATGTTGTATTTTAGTTAGTCTTCATTCTCTATTTCTAGTTGTGTTAGAAGTCTCTTCTATATATACTCTATCATGTACTCCATAATTCAAAAAGTAATATTATTATTATTCCAATATTTCAACATGGTATCGGAGCCAGTTTTGAATTCTTGAGACCTCAAATTCGCTTCTTCCCCTACCGGTGGGCATACACAACTCAACGCCTACCGGCGGGATATTGTTTTTTTTATTTTCTTTGATTGTCCTCCATCATTCTAGAAGAAGTGGTCGGACAAGGGTTGTTCTACAGAGACAAACAACTCTTTCCGCGTCTACTGTTCACGATCGAACGACATCGCGTCCATCGATCATCACCTGTTGTTGCTGCCAAAGTGTTAGAAAGGGCGACCGTTGCTGAAGAACGGTCGAGTGGGTCGACCGTCCCGACGACAGTTTCTCTTGATCGCGGTTACTGTTCACGATTAGACCTGGCAAAACAGAACCGGAATCGATTACCCGAACCGAAATATCCGAAACCGAAACCGGAATGACCCAAAAAATGAAGATCCGATCTATAACCGAAAACCCGAAATGATCCGAATCGAACCGAAACCGAACTAAATAATTCATATCCAATTTAAATCCGAAACCGATTAGATCCGAAACCAATAATATCCTAACCGATTAAACCCGAAACCGATTAGATCCGAACCTGATAGTACCCGAAACCGATAAAATCCGAAACCAATTAGATCTAAAACCGATAATATCCGAACCTGATTAGAATAAAATCGATAAATTCAGAACTATGTTTGCCTTTCAATAAGCATATTATATTTTTAAATTTTTACTTTTATTTTACCATTTGAACTAATTACATTACTTGCTCATTCCCTCATAAAATTGATTATTTTCTTGGAAAAAAAGTACAAAAATTTATGCCTTAAATTTGTTATATGTAGAAATTAAAGATAAGTTGTACATATAAATGATAACGCACAAACAAATAAAATTTCCGTAATTTTTAAATAGTGAAGTATGATATTCTTTTTGGGACGAAAGAAATATATGATGAATTGTATGGAATAACTAGATGTTATCCTAATTTCGTCCCATTACAATAAATTTAATTGATTTGAGAGTTAATTTGATTAGTTTCAAACCAATTCACTCAATATTAGTCAATAAAATTAGATGTTAGTGTTAGCATTTTGAAAAGACTCTCTAGCGGCAGCCTTTGCTGTTATCATTTTCAAATTTGATCTACACCATTACATTTAGGTGTAAAATTAATTATATTTGACTCTATTAAATTTAATTTTCTCTATTTTCAACCAAATATACTCAATAATTTACAAATTTTGCACTCAATTGAATAAAATTCACTTAATTTCACCCAATTTTACTCAATTTTTACCAAATTGTATTCAAATGGAACATAAGACT